AGTAGTCCTGTGTAAGCTTCGACGTTGCCCTTGTCTCGTTGAATGATGATGGAAATGGTAAGAAAGAGAGGAGTAACGGCGTGACTTTCTTCCTCTTGACTTCCACTTGTTATCTACCACCCACAAAAACGGCAAGGAAGATACGACCCCAGGCGCCGTGCCCATAGGCGGCAAGGAGCGACTGGATATACATTACGGTTTCTGGGGCCATTGGTGCGCGACTTTTACGCATTGTTTCCCAAATTGACACTGTCATCGCGCTAGCTTTGCCCTGAGCTTCACGGCCTCACATGGTGGACTGCTCACCCCTCATTGGCGGAGGTTAACGAGACTCTCCGAGGTGTTGCTGCTGCCAGTGTGGCGCGGGAGAGGCTACAAGCTTGCTCCATTCCAAAGTCACCAGGGCAGAAAATTGGAGAGGACCTTGCGACGGAGGATAGAGTTACTGCTCTCCCTTGTCGTATCGTCGCTCAGGAGTGCGACTCGGCATCCACAGCGGATAGAATGGGCTCTGGTCACGGCGTTCTTGACTATCATTTCCACTCCGGCACAATACGGGCACTCATCTCTGGAGTTGGCGCTCACAATCTCCTTGACCATATCCTGCCGTCTCCCTCCGCATTTCTCCTCCACATATGCCTAACATGACACCCGACCGCCGCTTTTCTGTGGAAGCCTTCAAGCTACATCTGCCGAACGGACCGGGGCGCAGAAAACAGATGCACAACCTCACATTTACGTTGTGTCAACCTCCCTCATTATATATTGTCCGCTTTCGGCTTCTATTTCTTCGCCATGACCAGCTTTTTCGTCTCCCTTTGCGAATAGCGTCACATTGGTCACGTCACGCTTTTCGCTCTTGATTTGGCGACCATATAACTCCACACACATAGTCTCTGTGGCTTAATCGACCGGACCTCCGTCTCCGCAGACGTATTCTGCGCGTAATCAATTCTTTCTGCCCGTGGTTTTGCCCGGGAAGGTCCTCGTTGGACACCATTTCGCAGGTGATCCCTTCACCCTCATAATCGACTTTTTTACTCCGGTGGCGAGCTTTGGCGGCGGCAGAGTCGTCTCTCGTGCCACAATACATCCCACTCTTGGTATTATCGCCGTCATCCGAGCCAGCAACGACAGCAAAATGTTGGGAGGCTGTCGGGGTCACTATTTCCTGTATTCCACCCACCCTCCTTTCATTGTGCGGGTCCGTTGATGCGGAGCCTTGACCCATGCCATCACCATACAGGGTGGCACAACTACATCGTCTCCTCCATTGCGGAAGACCTGCTGGAAGGGGGGAAGACGCGCCCGGCAGGGGCGTTGATTCTGAGGCGACACTTGTGTGTGGCAAAACTTGTACAACGTATGTAGCGTTTGTTCTTGCTTTTGTTCGCACTAACATCTTTGGCACAGGATACAAATTATATACCGGAGATTTGGCGATAATTCGAATACTCTCGATCATACAGCGTGTTTCCCTATTCCAACAAAATACCTCCAATCTTCACGTCGCAACAGTCTTCACAAACCAGCACCTTTCCTGTTTCCGTGTCACCGCCAGACATTTCGTGCAGAACCACCTTATATGTAATCCACCCGTCCGTTGGCTGCCCACGAGCGCTTCCTGAGCTCCTGTAAAGCAGTTTCGTTCCGTGAGGCGGCTATTATAGCAGAAGTAAGAAACTTGGCTGAGCAAAGGAAACTTGTTCTCGCCTGAATTGTCGATAAAGTCTTCGCATTCTATACCACTAGATGCCGCGCGCCACCAGTAGCCAAAGAGGACTCCGTCGATGAAAACGTCTCGAAGGCTGAGGCAGCGTTGGGAAAGCTCGCGGCGGGCATCGGCGAGTAAGGAGCCAGCCTCTCCAGCAGAGTGGTGCTCGCCCCCGCGGGTAGAGACTGTGGCTGAATGTACAGTGCAGCGCCATACGCTCGAGCCTACGAGGGAGATTGGGAAGACCGGGGAGGCCGATAAAGAAGTCCGCTGGCTAATGGGAGAGACAATTAGCTGGGATGAACTGGGGGAATATTAGATTGGACACACGAGAGGATTGAGATGGATAGCGTTGTTGTCTTTGAAGCTACAGACTAACTCCATGTCGAGTATCTCGAGGGCAGAGAAGGAGGGCACGATGGCGTTGAGTTTGTCGTATGGAATATCATCCAGAAACATCTCCAGGTGAAGTCGAACGTGGAGACAGGTGAGAGTGGCGGCCACTGAAGTAGGCATGGACGGCAAATCGGCGACAAATAGCTCCAGCGTACAGAGCGGGACTTTGAGATGTGTGAGCCGCGGTAGCGCCACATATTGAAAAAGTTCAAAAGGTGAGTTTAGGGAAGTTAGGGTTAGCGTGGAGACACTTGGCAAAATGAAATTTGTCGCGGCGTCGGGGACCAAGAATAGAACTTGAAGGTGGAAAGTAGTGAGGGCGGGGAATGCAGAGAGGACCCGTGTGACTTGTCCCATGCTCGTTTCTTGCAGGGGAGTGAGGCTAATGTGGGTGACAGAAGGGAAAATTGCATCCAACTCTACCATTTCACAGCCTACGAAGACTGAGGCCAGTCTTGATGGATCGAGAAGTGCCATCCAAGGGCCGAATAAGGTATTAGCGACCCAGAAGTCCTGCACGGCCAGCGTGTGTATCAAACGCTTTGGACAGTCTTTGATCCCCAGGATCCCCTCCAAGGTGCCACCATGGACCTCGAGTCTTTTTAAGCGAGGGAGGCTGTCGATATGCGACCATTTCAAGTCAAGGTCCTCAAGCTGCAGAAACTGGAGATTATGGAATTGTGGCAGGCGGTCGAGGAAGGCAGAGAGCAGAAGGTATGGGTCGTCTGACATCGAACCCAGCGCGTTGGAAGCCGCTCGCCATGGACGGAGAATGCACTTGCGCACATGCGGCGCGATCGCAGTTGATGCAAAGAACTCGAGCCGTTCCATGTTCTTCGAGAGGAGCTCTACGGAAGGGAGAAGCATGGTCGGCGGATCGGCGCCCATCGTCGGGTTGAAAATCGCATAAGGGTGAAAGTGGAAGGTGGCAAATCGAAGGGGGGCGGGAGAGCTCGGCGAATTCATGATTGATGAATGCAAGTTGGCAGAAATCATAGGAGCGGGATACCCCTGCGATTTCGGATAGGATCTCGAGCCAGAGCTCTGGTGGGAGCGCTACGGCAGGCATAGCACGGAATCGACAATCGTCGAAGAGATCAAGGACTACACTGCTGTTGTGACATGCTCACAACTCTTTTCCTCCTTGACCACGATGACCGCGCCGAACTGCTGATAGTACCTTCTCAGCAACCAGCCAAGCTCTGGTGAGACCTCATATTATGCTATATCCAACACCGTTCTGAGCGCTCTGTGTAGACGGCGCCGGCTTTCTTTTTGAAAACTGTCCCCGCAGCATCTCCAATGACAAGACTCTGTCACTCTGCCTAGAGCAAAACCGAGGGATGAGTCGAAGGACATACCAGAGCGGCTTCCCGCGGAGAGTGGAAGCATGAGTGGAGACGGAACTACTGGGCTTGAAGGTCTGTCTGCGCTACTTTCTTCTCCACGCTTGCTCTGAGTCTCAGCTCGAACATCTTCAGTTGACTCATATACACCGCTTCGTCTAATTGACCGAGTATTTCGCCGTCTCCTCCAACACCATCATCCTCGTTTCCCTGCCTTTTACTCCTCACCCGCCAAACACGCTCAAACACGCTGAAGGCCGAAATCCTCACCCTTCGTCTTGGAGAGGAGCATGAAAGATGCCAAAATCAAACAGAGAGGCTCCCCAAACCCCAACATGGTCGCACCACCAGAGAGAAGGGAACACTCAAGACGCAATTGTGTTTGTCCAGCGAATAGCCTCGCCGAAGTCGACTTCCCGCTACGTGTAAAGCGGTTCCCACGCTACTTCTTGTATAGGACTGCGAAGAACGAATAAGCAGTGGATTAACTGCTTGGTGGACCGACATTCTTAGTGAGTCCGTGTTCGCTCTTGCCTCATTATTTTGGTCTCTTACGGCTACCTAGCTGTCCATTTCAAGTTATCACTTGATTGCCTCGCAACCATGTGTCCAACCGATTCAGATAGCCAACACTTTCCTTGTTGAATATATCCTGCCATCTCCCACCGTGTTTTCCTCCTCCATATGCCTAACATGACACCCGACCCCCCAAAACCTCTACAACCTCACCTTAACTTTGTGTCAACCTCCCCCGTCATATATCGCCAGCTTTCGGCTTCGGTTTCCTCCTCATGACCCGCCTTTCCTCTCCCCTTGCGAATAATGTCACATCGGTCACATCGGTCACATTACCTTTTTCGCTCTCAATTTGACGGCCATATAACTCCACAAGCATATCCTCTGTGGCTCAATCGACCCGACCATCGCCTGCGCGAACTTATACCGCGCCTACTTAACTCTTTCGGCCCGTGGTTTTGACCGGGACGGTTGTCGTTGGACAGGATTTCGCTGGTGATTCCTTTCACCCTCAGGACTCATCCTCGACTTTTTTTCCGAGATCGTCGGCATACGCGGTAGCGCAGCCGCATCTCATGGGGATACGACCTAAGCCTTATATGTCCGCTTTTTCCCGAGTCAGAAACGGCGGAACCCTGGCAGGCTGGTTGGAGGCTGTAGGTGTTCCCGGGCCCGTCCTCCTTCTATTGTGTGGGTTCATTGTTGCGGAGCCTCGACAATGGCATATGCCATCGCCACACCGACGTAGCACGACTACATCTCCTTGTTCATTGCGGGAAGCCTATTGGGAGTGGCGAAAGACGGGGACAGCTGGGGAAATTAACACGTCTTGAGATGCCCGAGGCGAGACTTGTGCAATGTATGGAGAGTTTGCGATGAACAATTCGAATTCTGTCGATGATAAAGCACATATTTCTACTCCAACGAAGTCCCCCGGGCCCCCGCATCTCGACGTCTAAATAGTCTTCACAAACCAGCACCTTTCTTTTTTCCCCGTGTCACCGTCAGACCTTTTGTGCAGAAGTGCCTTATTCATAATACACCCGTCCGTTGGCTGCCCACGAGCGCTCCCTGAGCTCCTGTAAAGCTTTTCCGTTCTGTGAGTCGGCTATTGTGGCAGAAGTAAGAAAGTCGGCTAACAAAGAGCGAGTTAATCCCACCTGAATTGTCGATAAAGTCTTCGCATTCTATACCACTCGATGCCGCGCGCCACCAGTAGCCGAAGAGGGCACCGTCGATGAAGACGTCTCGAAGGCTGGGGCAGCGCTGGGAAAGCTCGCGGCGGGCATCGGCGAGTAAGGAACCCGTCTCACCAGCAGAGTGGTGCTCGCCCCGTGGGTAGATGTCAGTGTCCCGACTGTTGCTGAATGTACAGTGCAGCGCCATACGCTCGAGCGCAAGAGGGAGATGGGGGAGGTTGGGGAGGCCTATAAAAAGGTCTGCTAGCTAGCGAGAGAGACAACTTGAATTAGCTGGGATGAACTGGGGAATATTAGATTCGACACACCAGAGGATTGAGGTGGATAGCGTTGGTGTCTTTGAAGCTGCAGACCAACTCCATGTCGAGTATTTCGAGGGCAGAGAAGGAGGTTATAATAGTGCGGAGTTTGTCGTATGGAATATCATCCAGAAACATTTCCAAGAGAAGTCGGATGTGCAGACGAGTGATAGTGGCGGCCACGGACATACACATGGAGGGCATACCATCGACAAAGGTGTCCAGCATACAGAGTGGCACTTTGAGATGTGTGAGCCGCGGTAGCGCCACATATCTGAGAAGTTCAAAAGGTGTGTTTATGGATGTTAGCGTCAGCGTGGAGAGGCTGGGCAGAATGAGATGTGGTGTTGTCGGCGGTGGCTCGTCGAACACCATGAATAGAACTTGCGTATGGAAACTAGTAAGGGCGGGGAATACGGACAGGAATTCTGTGATTTGCTTCATACTTATTTTCTGCAGGGGAGTGAGGGTAATATCGGTGACCAGAGGGAAAACTGCATCCAAATCTGCAATTTCGCAGCCTACGAAGATAGAGCGCAGTGTTGATGGGTTGAGAAGTCTCATCCAACGGCCGAATAAGTTGGGCTGGGAGCCAATATCAGCCACCCAGAAATCGTCCACAGCCAGCCTGTGTATCAAATGCTTCGGACAGTGTTGAATATCCGCCAGAAAGTTGCCACCATGAACCTCCAGTCTCTTTAAGCGAGGGAGGCTGTCGATATGCGACCATTTCAAGTTGAGTTCTTGGAGCCGCAGGCACTGGAGATTATGGAAGTACGGCAGGCGGTCGAGGAAGGCAGAGAGCAGAAGGTATGGGTCTTCTGACATCGTGAAACGGGATTCTAGTCCGTCGGAAGTTGCTCGTCATGGACGGAGAATGCACTTGCGTACATGCAGCGCGATCGCCGTTGACGCAAAGAACTCGAGGCGTTCCATGCCCTCCGAAATAAGCTTTTCTGCGGGAGAAGGTATGGTCGGCGTATTGACGGCCCTTGTCCGATAGGTGACCGCGTAAGGGTGAAAGCGGAAGGTGGCAAATCGAAGGGGGCGGGAGAGCTCGGCGAATTCACGATTGATAAGGGCAAGTTGGCAGAAGGCATGGAATGCAGATACTCGTGCGCTTTCGGAGAGGATCTCGAGCCAGAGTTCGAGTGGGAGGGCTACAGGCGCCATATCACGGAATCGACAATCGTCAAAAAGATCAAGAAGCAAATGTGACATGCTCACAACTCTTTTCCTCCTTGACCACAATGACCGCGCCGAACTGCTGATAGTACCTTCTCAGCAACCAGCCAAGCTCTGGTGAGACCTCACTTTATGCTATATCCAACGCCGTTCTGAGCTCTCTCTAGACGGCGCAAGCTTTCTTTTTGAAACTGTACCCGCCAGCGTCTTCAACGACAAGACTCTGCCTAATGCGACGACGGAACAAGACCGAGGGATGAGAAAGGCATAACAGAGCGGCCTTGCGCGGAGGGAGTGAAAGCACGAGTCGAGACTGGGCTACTCGAAGGTCTGTCTGCGCTACCTTCTTCTCCATGCTTCGTCTCAGCGCAAACGTCTTCTTTTCCAGCCTCATCATATGCATGATTTCCCGAACGAGTACTCACTTCCTCCTCCGTCGCCAGCATCTTCGTTTACCCACCCCTCAGGCTCTTGTTCCTAACCACCACTCGCCCACCAGATATGCTGAGGGCCGAAATCCTCACCTGTTCTTCTTGGAGAGGAGCATGAAAGATACCAAAATCAAATAGAGAGGCCCCAAACCCCCCAAATGGTCGCAATACTGGAGAGAAGGAACACTCGTCAAGCAAATTGTCTTTGCTCGTTCCAGCGAATAGCCCCGCCAAAGTCATCTGCCCGCTACGTGTAACGCGGTCCACATTATACTTTATTGGGACTGCGAAGAACGAATGAGCAGTGGGTTCAACGCCGTGGTTACTTGCTTGGTCGACGGACGTTTCTTGGTAAGTCCGAATTCGCGCTTGCCTCGTTCTTCTGGTCTCTTATGGCTACCCAGCTGTCTATCGATCACCCTCATCGCCTTCACAACCATCTGGCTTACCGATAGCCAACGCTTTCCTCGGTTCCAGCTGTCATTCGCATAATCACCCATTTTCATTTTCCCCACCGCATTCTTTGCTCGAATCCCTTTACAACCGCGTCCAGTGGGCCTCCTCTCCATCCCACAAAATCCCTTCGCCATTTCGAGGTCGTGGCCGATTGCTATGACGGACACGTCAGCAGCCTTCGAGGCGAGGCAAGGCGACTTTGCCCGCCATACGGCCATGTCCTTGTTGCTTGCGCTCCTGCGACTCTTTGCGTGATTCAATCTCACGGGAAGCGACTTTCGGAACATTCAAAGCATTGAGGACCGAGGTCCCTCTCTCTTGGTCGTTTTCGGTGTACAAATCGACATCGACAATTCTGTGGGTTCCTTGGTCGCAAGCTCGGCCCCGACTTCGCCTGCACCATCTCTGGTTACCTTTGTGGCCGCTAAGGACGTCCACACATCGAAGTACCCCGGTTTCGCCACTTAACTTACCTTATTTGGAAGCGCAGGTCAATCGCCTTTGTTACTGGCCAAGTTACTTGTCGTTTTCCCGTTACTCTTACCAGCTCGTCCTAGATGTATCTTCTGTATCTACACCATACATTCCCCCCACAACGACCTCATTCTTGCACCTTATATCGTCTTACATCATCGTTCGCAGACTTGTTTTTCCCAAGCCGCATCTAGGTATCTTGTTACAAGCAGCCTCTTCCGATATCTGTGCCCCCGTTCTTCATATTGTCATCTCCTCCACCCGTCACTGCCACGGGTATCGATATCATCACTATCTCTCATGGACCATGGTGGTTATCTGTAAGAAACCTTTGTTCTACAAGAAATTGGAATCTTGGTTTTGCAGCGCGGTACTGTTAATGCGTGTTCTCGAATGTACTGGGGCGGGCTACTCATACTTATATACATGTTTGCCAATCACGAGATGGCCTGTAATGTTTCCTGGCCCAGCCTCGCCGCTCAACCTTGCTCCAAGTCGTTGTGTTGTCCGGGTTGGGCGTCGACTCCGAGGATGCTACTGAATATTCAAGTTCACAGAATATTGAAAGCTGGACGGGTCGGCTGGAGCTCACCTACTTCAGCAGCTCTTCCCATGGCGGAAGATCGAATAACGAGGGTAAACGGTCCCACAATTCCCGCCTGCCCTGATTATGCGATGCTTTCCCGGAAATGGCGCACCGATGGCATAGATTTTTGGACCAGGAGGAACGCCAGCACCAGAGTCCCTTCAAAGGCGTCGGGCTGCAAAGCGAGGCGAACAACTCTATTCGGGTCAAAGGACAGATTCACGGTGTCAAGCACTCGTAGTGGCCCTTTGCGCGGAGCCATTTTGCTGTTGTCTGGCGCTGCACCTCCATACGCTTGCACAATCCCTCGAGTATCGCCCGACGGTCGGCCTCGGGCAGTGCCGCCGCGCGTGGCGTTACGAGCTGCGGTAAACGGCGTGGGGCGGTAAGTAGCCAAAAGGTAGTCGGGAGCAACTGTGGGAGGTCTATCTCTCGCGCCAAAATGCTAACTTCAAGCGCATATTTGTGTGTAGTTGCCACGGCCGAGTGACAGTCTGGGTCGGGCATAATGCAGGCTTCGACACCCGTTGACGAAGTCCATTTGTCAAGGGTAGATGGATATGCGGTCGTTAGGCGCTGTACGGCGTTCTCGAAGAGCCAGGTAATCTCCTATTTCTTCCCAATACGCGCAAAAGCTTGAATGACGGGAAGAGGCAGGGGCTCGTTCTCTGGGTAGCGACTGGGAACCATGTCAATACGGGCCGAAACGGAGTAAACAAGCAATATCAATACTGATATAAGAGACGCTTGAAGACATAATTCAGATCGACGGGATTGTCTGACACGACCAGAATGGCGGCTGGCGTCAGTGGGTCCATGAGAGCCTTGAACTTGGGAGAATGGAGCGCCAGTTGGCTACGAAAGACCCGGAACTGCGTCCTTTGCGCTTCAATGTCGATATTACCGTCGTCAAACCACACTTCAGATCGTATGATAGGCTTAGTCTCGTGGATAACAGCATGAAGGTCCACAGCATCTTCAGAGTCGGAGCGCTTTCGTTTGGGTTGTGGATCGGCCATTGTGAGTGGAATTGTCAGCAGTCGCTGCTTAACTGTGGTTGACGAGTAGAAAAGGCAAGTAACGCATGTGACTCATCTTTCCTTTTAACTCTTTTGACTTCCGCCTATTGCTGCATCTCCCACCAGCCACACGAGCAGGACACAATCGGAGAGCAGTAGAAAGTGTACAGATGGGCTTTCTGGGTACGGGTATGGGCTATTTGGTGTGTTAACCCCATACTTTGTCGATTCCTCAAATTGACCCTAAACCAGTAGTTTCGTGGCCTGGCGTGGTGAACTACTCCAGTCATCTCTCATTCGCGTCAAATATGCAGGATGTAGACACGAGATACTCGAAGGGGAGCTCATGCTAGACGGGAAGGATTCCACAAAATGAGCTCACCAGCTTTCTTCACTCTCGAAAAGTCACGGTCAACGGGGCGGGATTCGGAGGCGAGCGGGTGATGAAGGCTGGCACACTGCTGCCCCCAACAGGACTGCCGCACGGACTGGCCTCTCGACTTTCAATGAAGAGATACCCGATTACATCGACAGTGGCGGGCTCTGCCTTTTGCTTTCTTTTGCGGGTTGCGACACGTTTGTCGAACGAACTACGCTCCAGTACGACACATGGGGATTAAATGCTCCTCTCAGACCTTTCCTCGGAATCTTGAGAAGATGGGACGGATTCCGTGTGGATTCAGCGGTGTCCATTTCGGCCCAACTTTGGGTCAGTTATGGGTCAGTTAAAACTTGTCCTTCCCCGACTCTTCGTGCCTCTCATCCTTATCCAGGTCATCTTCGTCCATCCTTCCCATTCCCTCAGCCCCACAGCAACGGGGTTCTCGATTTCAGCCCCATTTCAGCCTGTTCATGTACGACCAATTTGGTGGCACTTTCTTGGCTTCAATCAATGCCTTTGAAAGTATCATTGCTGAACCATTTTCCTATCCGGACAAAAAAAACTTCCCTTGGCTTTGCATCCTCACCTCGTTTGTTATGGCCGCCACGTCAGCGCCTTCTGGGGCGAAGGCAGACGATATGGGCCTCCCGCCGACCTCGTTCTTGGTGCTCGGTTTCGAGCGACTCGTTGCATTGTCAAGTCAACAGGACATCGACCTCGAGAGTCATTCAAGGCTCGCGAGCTCCGCGATTTCGCCACATGCCTAATGGGCAAGGTACAAGTGGGTGACCGAAATTCATGTTCCTTCGAAGCTGATATACACTTGTCTAGTTTCCGCTGCCGGCTCCATATATCTACCTTCCTCATCCCTTCGACAATGCCCTCTTTCCGAAATGGATTTGCGCGTCCAACACAACGCTCTCTGGTCGTTCAGCGCTTTCTTCCTCACCTTCCGTGACCACTGCACACACCTTCCGCAACAAGCACCGGCGTCTACATCGAAATCTGGCTCGACTTCGCTGTCTTTCGTAGCCTTGGACGAACTGCTCGTTTGGACCTGCCTGTCATAAACCCGACGGGAAACACTGAGATTATATATTCATGCTCCCGCAATCTATCCATTCCTGCGATCGTTCTCCAAGTTTTTTGCTTGACACACACGTTCCCCTTTCCCCTCAAATACGAGTTCTGTTTACTTGCTCTTTTATCTGACCCTCCCATTTCGCTGCCACCTACATTCCCCTTGGGCGTCTCCAAATACTTACCTCATATTTCACCTTATCATTTGCCATGTC